ATATATATATATATATATATATATATATATATATACACGTGTTTTTCGACTTTTATTTTTATTTTTTGCTTTTGCTTTTACCTTTGTTTTGATTTACTATGTCGACAGAATTGTTTTTTTGTATGTATCTACCTTTTTTGTACATATTATTTTCTCACAAACTGAATTTTTATTTTATTTCATTTTTTTTTTAAAGTATGCGTCATACATGTTGTAGCAAAGATTTTTGCATTATCATCAAAATTTTTTTGTTGTTCAAAACAGAAAAAAAAAAGACAAATTTTCATTTTATTATTTAGTTAGAAAGACGAAAAAAATTTTGCTATAAAATATAGGGAAGCAAAATTGGTTGGGAAGACGAAACAGTGATAATCAGCTACCAGTTACCTCCTACCAGTTAAAGGCTGCTTTTATTGATTAGGTACTATCGGTTGAAATAAAGATGATATTTGCAAAACAAAAAACTACAGAAGGTAGGATGATTACAAAAAAATAGCAATGAAGTACACTAGTTTTTTCTTAATACCGAGATAAAGGAAATTAAGTGAAGGATCTTTTAAGATTTTCTTTTTTTAGCACTTATGTGAACAAGAAAGAAAGTTTCTGGGTTTATTTTGTTGTCATTCAAAAGCCAAGGGTAGTTTATTTTTTTTACTGTTACTACTATTTATTATTATTATTATTATTATTATTATTATTATTATAATATATTAGCATTATTATCTGTATTGTTGTTCAATGATTGCTGTAGCTGTTTTACCACTGTTGAACGGTATTTTTTGTTTTGACGGTGATGGTGGTGGTATTGGAAGACGGGGGCACAACAGGGCACAATGTGTATTTAATAATGAACGGGACTATGGGGTCAATTTTTATTGCTGTAAAAAAAAAAGACTTTTTTGGCCTTCAAAAATTGTATACCTGTGCTGGCCGTAATAGTCTGACAGTTTTCTTTTCCTGTTCATCTTCCTTTCCATCTTCCTACTCAACCTTCTTCACCTCTCCTCAGTTCTCATCTTCCCTAAATCATATTTCTCTTATCTTTATTTTTCTTTCTTATTTTTCCGAAATCAATTTATACCGACAGAAGTTGGATGATCCATATACATCTGGGTGCAATTCGAGAGTTGTTTCAAAGAGATGATACAGCTTTTTTTACCTGTGGTCTAAGAAAATAAATTTTTGCATCTGCTTTCCTCCCCCATATAAAGTTGTTTCAATAGTATATAAAATAGTTTAAAGTGAATGTTTTTGCGAATTTGTGATATGGCTGCTGGTATGCGACTAAGTGAGTGAGTGAGTGTGTGCGAGAAATAAGTGAGTGTATCTAAACTGATAGTTGAGGGGTTGGTTGATTTGCTTTTTGTTTTCTTTAACAGCACACAGAAATCTACGATATATATTCCCACCGGGTGGGGGCGTCTTAAAAGCTCTGTTTAGCTAAACTAAAAGACAGAAACAGCTAACTAACCAGCTTGGTTGCTTGCTTTGGAGTTGCTTTGGTTTGTGTTGCTTTGCTCTTTTCTGTTTCGTTTTGTTCTGGTAGATAACTAGCTCAGTGCATTGGCACAGTCAGCTAGCTAGCTTGTTTCTTGTCGAAGAGCCTGTTTTCACAATGGCTAGCAGCGGTAGCATCATCATCATCATCATCACCAACAACAACATCATCATCATCATCATCGGCTGCATCATCATCATCGTCATCATCATCAGCACCATCAGCAGCGGCAGCAACATCATCGTCGTCGACACTGTTGCTGTTACTAACGCACTTCACCATTGCTTTTGGCGTAATGCGGTGGACGTCGCTGTGTTACTTTTTCTTTTCCTTCAGCCATTCAAAAGAACACTGTAGTAAGCAGAAAGGACGAGAGAAGTGTGGACCAGATTTTTTAAATATACGACACATAATAATTTGCACATGGAACAAATATGTTAACATATATAAAGGCAGGAATGAACACAGCATTCTTAGAGGAAAAGTACTTATGACAGTGGCTAAAGTTAACAAATAATAATGAGTAATAATAATCACATGCATGTTCGTTAAAATAGATAGATGGAAAAGAAAATAAAGAGGTGAATTCAGCAGGGAACTAGAAGAATGAAAAATTGGAGAATCTTTTACTAATCAAACCTTGAGTATCTAAGTTTTTTCTCCTGTTGCCATTCTTCATTTTTCATTTTTTCTTTTTGTTTTACCGATTTCTTGGTTTTTTCCGGAAAAGTTTATTAAACAAACTAAGGGGTTGGAAATTCTAATGCAACGTGGGTTTTGTTGTACTCGTTGATCTTGCTCTGATTGTTCTTGGATGTCGATGTTGCTGCATGAAACTTAGTTTTGGTTCTTTTGTTCTTTTTATTTAGCAGCATTAGAGACTTGAACAGTTTTTTTTTATTTTCTGCATTTTTTATTTGTTTGTGTTTTTTTATTTATTTTGTTTTTCTTTGTTCCATTTCAACCCTAATCTTCAGCTTCATTTGGCATTAGTTGTTGCTGAAAATGCAGCCCGAGATGGAGGTATCGGCGGCGGTGGTGGTGGTGGCGACTCGGATTTATTACATGCCGCTGACGAAATTAGGATGGCCGCCGGCGGGCTACCGAACGAGTTCATACCGGGTTTGTCGAGGTCCGGTAGCCAGAAGTCAATTCTGGAATTTGTTTATCCGGATACTCTGAGGCAACGTGTAACCGCTGATGAGTGTCCTGTCTGTCAGCTTATGCTTCCTAAAGGTCCAAATGGATGTGTATGTGTTGACAGTTACATTGTTTTGTTTTTTTCCCTTCGTTTTTCGTGATCGTTACTGTTTTCGTTCTTCGTTCTCTGTTTTTTTTTTCGTTCGCTACATTTTATTTCTTTCTGATTTTTTTCTTTTTGGTTTTCACTTGATTTTCTCGCATCTTTTCTGTTGTTGTCTACTTTTTCTGTTTTATATGCAATTTTTTTTCGCACTTTACCCTTTTTCAGCTCTTCATTTTTGAACTTTGTGAAGCAAAAAATTTTTATCTTTCTTTGTTCGTTCTATTTTTGAAAAAAATCAAGGAGAAAAGCTTATTTTAAATCTTATTTTCTGTTTTCTTCTTTTTATTGCGCATTTCTTTCTCACTCTATTTTACTGACTCGCTATTCTGCTTATTGTTTCATGCTTTCAGATGAAAATTTCTTAAGAAAAATTGGTGGATTTAAAAAAAAAAGAAACGGAAATGAGAAGGAGAATAAGCAGATGAATGCATTTTAGTTTTGTTGAAAAAAAAAAAAAGTAGTTAAAGTTAACAGATTACATGTTTGGTATAGGAGCAAACAAGATTATGTGTGTATAAAGGTGGTTTACGCCAAACGAAAAAAATCGCTGTTGTGGTTTGTTTTGCACAGACAATTCAACTGGTCTTCTGTGGTATTTGTTGTTGGTGCTTATTGCATTTTTTTATTTGCTTACTTTTTTTTTCTTTTTTGGCATTGTTCAATTTTTTATACAAAAAAAAAAGGGGAAATATTGCAAATCATTTTTTTTCGTTTTTTTTTCTATTACATTTAATGTTTCATTTGATTTTTGATGCTTAAAAAAATATCGTTAAAATTAGCCAAGAAAAAT